GGCCTGAGGTGGAGGGCGCTGCCTCCCTGAGGTCCTCTTCCCTGGTCATCTGAAGGAGGGGCCAAGGCCTGAAGTGGAGGGGGCCGTGTCCACGTGGTCGTCCTCACCGTTCCTCGGCCCTTGTCATCCTCTTGCCTGCTTGGTGGACTCTCCTGACATCTGGAGGACTGGGGTTGGCTCTTCGTCAGGACATTCCACATGAAAAGGGAGTGGGGGAGATTGCACTGGTCGCAAAATCAAAACCCATAAATATTTCTTTAACCTTTAAACTCAATGTGCCGTACTCATTTGTAACCTGGGAACCCTTCTAAGGACTGAAGGGGGTCAGAAAGTTGTTTTACTTGCACACCGGAGGTCCCAATCACAGCCGCCTGAGGACCTTTTTCAGCCTCTTCTGTGCTCCACAAGAGTTGTTATCTAGTAGTTCATCACTTCTCCAACAAGATTCGTATCGATAGATTTGTGTCTAACTATTATTTAATACATGAATTTAGTATTTAGTATTATACCATAATAAATAAAAAGACAACTAGATGTGTTACAGGGTTCAAAAATTGTCTTGAACATCGACGACGGGAACAAACCCTCTGATTCGTTGGCTGATTTTAGTCACTAGAGACGGTTGAGATCAAGTTACCATTAACGTTGGAGCGAGTAAATTAGCCTATTAGAATATTTAGGATTTGTCATTTTGGGAGCAGTTAACACACATTTTTCTGATCGCTCACACATCTTGTTGAACTCGGGGTTTGAATTTGTTTTATTGGATTTGTTTGTGCTTTCAGTTGCCTGACTTCATTTCTTAGAAACATTCATGTTTTAATCAAAATGTTCCATGTAGGAAACATCTACTTTAGGCTGAGACATGTTTCCCCAGCTTCACGTGCTGCTTCCTGTCAGACAGGAAGTCAGTGATCCACTTGCAGGTGGAGTCGGGCACGTGCAGCTGGGAGAGTTTGTCCTGCAGCAACATCATTGCTGTTTCACTTCATTTAAGTCAACAAGTAATAAAGAACACGTGATTCTCTTTGGTCTGAAAAAAAGAAAATGGATTCATTTGGTTTTATTTTTATCAAAATTTATTTTCAAATAATAATAAACATGTGACATATTTAACAAAAAAAAAAACACAATAAACGGGAGAGTGGGGCAGAAACACATAGAGGGGGAAAATGAGAGGGAGAGAGTGGAGGGTGGGGAGAGGGCCAGAAAGTGATAGAGGGGGAAAAGGGCCTGTGGGTAAATAGAAACGTTAGTGAGTCTTTGTGTGGATCTGGAGCTGCTCCTGAGGGGTCGACTCTCAGCGCGCCCCGGTGACGTGACGTCCTGATGATGTCCTGATGGCGTCCTGATGGCGTCCTGTTGGTCTGCAGAGACAAGGAGAAGAGACGTGAGGAGGATCATCGGGATGTGAGAAAACATTCATAGATCCAATTATTTTAATTTGATGTACCTTCATTTAGTTATTTCATGTGTGTATCTACATTATACATTGTGGTTGTTAAAGTGTATTTCTGTATATGCTTTTCATGTTTAGTTCCTGAGAAGAAAGAAAGAAAAGTTAGTAACACGTTAATGTTGTTAGTGTGTAGAACAAAATCTCCAACAGGAATCAGGAAACATTTATTGCCAAAAGACGAGTACGGCTCCTTTTTCCTTTTCCTTTTTCACGCGTCTCTGGTTCCGCTCTGGCTTCCACTGAAGATCCCCCCACACTGGCTCGGCACAGCCATTTACCCCCATGATGGTCAGCTGCAGGAGGGACGTCCCCAGCACACCTGAAGAAAATCTCTCACACACACACACACACACACACACATACACACATATATGGAGCAAATCCAGGTCAAACGTTTTGTTCGCTTGAAAAATGAAAAAAATAAAAAATGAAAAATGAAAAAAATGAAAAATGAAAAAAAAGAAAAATGAAAAAAATGAAGTGGGGAGGAAGGGAGAGTGATGGGGGCGGGGGGAAGAGAGTGGGGGGGACAATGGGAGAGTGGGGGCAGAAACAGATAGAGGGGGAAAAGAAGAGAGAGGGTGGAGGGTGGGGAGAGGGCCAGAAACAGATAGAGGGGGAAAAGGGCCTGTTGGAAAATAGAAACGTTTGTGAGTCTTTGTGTGGATCTGGAGCTGCTCCTGAGGGGTCGACTCTCAGCGCGCCCCGGTGACGTGACGTCCTGATGATGTCCTGTTTGCGTCCTGTTGGTCTGCAGAGACAAGGAGAAGAGACGTGACGAGGATCATCGGGATGTGAGAAAACATTCATAGATCCAATTATTTTAATTTGATGCACCTTCATTTAGTTATTTCATGTTTGTATCTACATTATATATTGTGGTTGTTAAAGTGTATTTCTGTATATGCTTTTCATGTTTAGCGAGTCTCTGTGCATACCAACATGTTAGAGTGTCTCTGTGTAAGTACTTTTATATGCGTCTCTGTGTACATGTACATGATAACAGCAGGAATCAGAGGTTTATCTCAAGGTACTAACTGTAAATCACAGCTTTCACCACGCGATACACCGACACATCACATCATTCACAGCCGTACGGCTGCAGTCTGTCTGGACTCCTCACTTACCTTCAGCTCTGTTGAGTGCAGCAGAAGGCGTCTTCATCTCCTCTTCACACTCCTGAGGCCTTACGGTTACTTTCTGCAAGTTTCTCTCTGGAAAACTTCAGCGTGTGTAGTTTGAAACTAACTGACTGAATGTGCCACAGACAGTGTTTCTTATGCTGAGGTGAACGGAGCATAGAACATGGAGCTTAGAACATGGAACATGGAGCTTAGAACATGGAACATGGAGAAATGTTCCATCATGATGTCACGTCTCTATGGTTACAGTGAAGGTATCTTGAATATGGAAATGAGCCTTTAAAGTAAACGTGTGTGTGGACGGTGTATCTGTATTGATGGAGCTCATCCACTTCACATGCTGCATAAAACACTTTGCTCTGTTTGTTTTCTATGACCCGTTCATCTTGATCTTGAAAGCAAACACTTTAAAGAATAAATAAAGAACGATTTTTGATTTTGGTCCATTGTTTCAAGTCGAAAATATATAAACTCTTGAATCCGGATCGTTAAACCTCCCGTTCGAGCCCTCTTGTCTGCAGTCGTTATGCTAAGCTAACCAGCTACCGATGCTAAACCGACACATTTAAAACAATACCAGTGTCTGAACCCATACATGAAATTGAACAATGAACAATACCCTAAATATAGACAAATAAAAACCACTTGGCTTCAAACTACAGCTTCGAATTGTTGTCAAACTATGAACAATATATGAATTGTTTAAAGTTTACAGTATGATTGAAGTGTTTCTCCTCCAACAGCCAGAAGAGTAGTTAATTGGAATTTGGGGAATATTAATAATTTAATTTTAGATTCATGCTCATTGTGCAGGAAGGACAGATATGTAACATATATTGAAAAGCATTTACGTTAGATTGACCTTGTTTGTCTCAAAGTATTGACGTGCAACACAGAAGAGCTGCAGAGGACAGAATGTATTAATTGTATATTTAGTTGACCCTTTGTTGCGTAGAATAAAGACAAAGCGAAATAAATCAAAAGATCTCCCGTCATCTGCGGAAGGAAGTTAAGACATTTGTATGCAGCTTAATGACAAACAACACCCGAAGGAACGTCGCTTTTCGACTTTAATAACGGAGGGGAAACACCGACTTAAATACATGTGAATAGAAGGTAGCTGGCTAGCTAGCTGCTGTAGCTACACGGTCCCTTTACCTTTTGATAGTCCCTTCAAAACCCCAAAAGGGATTAACGGAGTAAGAAGGGTTGTGAGTTTGGTTTTAAAGGATTAACGAGAAAACGACTGTCCCCTTCCGTTTTACCGCTTTTGATAAAAACGAAAAACGAGAAAAGAATGTTTTCGTTTTCTGGTTTTTACGGTAAAAGGGACGATCAAAAGGTACACGGACCCTACACGAGCGGTGAGCTGTCGTTAGCTGCTGCGAGGACGGAGTCATCACAGTGTTTAAATCAAGTGTTTCAATCGGCTCCGGCACCGAAACCGGGGTTGCGTTCCGGTACGGTAGTTACCGGCTGGCGTGGGCACCAATGTGGCACCGGTCCTCGGTACCCAACCCTACATGAGAGGGGTCAAATCAAGTATCCCTAAATAAAGCTCTGTGTCTGGGTCAATGTCTGTGCACGTGCCTGATCGGGATGTGGGGAGAGAGGCATTTATTCCCTTATAGACCGGACGTAACAGTCCTAAACGTGGGGTTTAAATACCGTGATTTTGTTTCTCAATGTGGAGGTTGAATTATGATAAATACTTGTATACATTTTTTCTTCGTTGGCAGCTGAATGGAGGTGACACGTTCATCTCAATTTAGAATCCTTTCCTAAACATGTTGAAGCAGTGCTGTAGTTCTTCACCTCACTGACACACTAATGCAGAATATCTGCAAACCTATAAGCAGAGCTCATGAAATAGCTGGCTGGCTTTAACAGCAGGTGACTTCAACAAAAATCACGTTTATATTCCATCAAAAGGCTTCGAGAAGCTGCTCTGATCATTGCACCTGTGAGGGTGTGCGCTTACCTGTAGTCAGCGGGGAAGATAGCAGAGCACCAGCTTCACTTCTTCCTGTTACTGGTCTGACTGGACAATGGAGGGTTTGGATCACCTGCTCTATTATAACATCAGACACCACAAACACAAACATACTGTCAGTTGATGTTTCACACCACACAGACGAAAAAAGACCTTCTAAGGTTGCGTCAGTGGGGAGGACAGGGGCAAATATGTAGCATTAAATTAAAATATAGAGCCGGAGAGGTGAAATTGAATGAATTTGTCAGGCGAGAAACGACAGTTGAAGAGATGACTAAGAGACAGTGGCGACATCAAGCACCTATGTGTCCGCGTGGGTCGTGTTCAGGCCCAGCTTCAGCGCCCGCCGGTCCAGCAGGGGGCGTTTTACGGCGGTCAGGGAGCCTCCGGGAAGAAGCTCCTCCGGTGAAGCGAACCTGCTGCAAAAAGGCCCACGAGCGCTGCTGAACACCTGTAGTCCCGAGTCGCTTCGAACGAGTCATTCTGTCCTGCAGCACGCGCCGCATTTCAACGGAGCCCACGGGCTGGGGTGACGTCACACGTCGCCTAGCGACTTGCTTTGTAAAGATGACGCTGGCGGAGAAGCTAGCCGATGGCTAACGTTTAAACTGGTTTAAGCGGCGCTAGACAGCCGAGAGCTGAACAAGTCCGCTCTGGCTAACCTGGTTTGATCGGAGCATAACACGTATTTCTTTATTCGCCATCATCAGTGGACCTGAGAGGTCTCGCGGGTGAACGCGATGATTCCTGCGGCGGTCTGATGGGGCTTTCAAGGAGCGCGATGCCGGCCAAGGTGCAGCTTTTGGCTGTTATGACATTTGCTCTGGCGATGCTCTTTATTGAGAACCAGATCCAGAGGCTGGAGGAGTCGAGAGCCAAACTCGGTACGTCATCACCAGATCAGAGGTTCGCTTTGTATAAATGTGCCTTGTAGTAATAGTTATTCAGGCAGTGAATGGAGCGTCGACGCTCGGATCACATGACCGCACCTTATAATATGTGTAAACAAACACCAAGGACTTGGGTCCGCGCAGCTGGTCCAGGAGCAGATGCTGATCCTCTTGCTGATCGATCACAGCAGCTTCGGGCTTTTTGACCACGTGGCTGAATTCATTCCAACCGCTCTGAAACCTGTGAGCCTTCAGGTGAATCCGGTCATCCTCTCCTTTGCTGAGGCCCTTCAGGGTGTTTCTGCTCCTCTGCATAGAAAACACTTCAAATGATTAGGAAACAAAATAGTACATATGTATGGATTAAAACTAATGTCATTAGTATTTTTAATTGTGTATTATGAGCTGTTTATAGCCATATAATTTTTCTCTAACATTATTAATACTGATCAAAACAAAACATCTTGTTTAAACAACTGGAAGTTTCTTATAAACATTACATTTTATGAGATGACACGTGAACACGTAACAATATGATTTGCCTTTGCTTCTCCTTTCCACCGAACAGCCTAAAATACTGAATGTAACCTTCATTCTGGTGGTAACGTGATTAGAAATGTCTGGGTTTCTTAACTATTGATCTCAGTCAGAGATTGGCGACCTCAAAAGCATTAATGGCGACGTCCCGGCAGCATATTTTGTGCGTCGAGAAGTGAGGCTTGTCAGCACATATCATGTAATGACAACCATCTGTTACACCACCTGTAAATACTTTCCTTTTTTCATAATAACCATTTGGGAAAGCAAACGCCCAAATTACACCCTGCCACGTTTTAGAAACACAAATCATTTTTCTTTTCTTATTACACGTTTTAATTAAGAAACACACCGTGTCATGTCTTGTTGGCCATGCTGCAAAGCTTAATACAACACACTTTAGCTTTTCCCTGTAGGCTTTGCTCAGGCTCAAAGAATGTTTTCATGAATAAGTCCAAATGGATATAAAGGCCGCTCTTTCACAGTTCACATCTGAATGACTTCAAACCATATAATGAATATTTCTTTACACCTGTATATCAGACCTTAACCCCGTCCTTATCACACCAACCTCCTGCCAGATGTGATATTTACGTGTGCATGCTCGTATGACGGAAACACTCATTCCGTTTAAAACACGGGCGGTGTTTGACTGGTGATTGATTGGTGGTAAATGTGTTTTTCTTCTGTGCGTGCACAGAACTGACCATCGCCAGGCACGAGGTGGCAGAGGTGGAGCAGCGTCACAGCGAGGATGCTGGCCGGGAATCGGGGCCGCGGGCGGAGAGAGACGACGCGGTCGTCATCTACAACAGAGTGCCCAAGACGGCCAGCACGTCCTTCACCAACATCGCCTACGACCTGTGCGGGAAGAATGGCTTCCACGTTCTGCACATCAACACGACCAAAAACAATCCCGTCATGTCTCTGCAAGACCAGGTGAGCAGTGGTGACACAGCAATGTCGAAACACTACTCAAAAAGGTCAGAGTTTATTACATAATAACAATTCTACTCTGACTGCAAATTCTGCTTGTTTCAAATTTACAGAATTCCAGCCAATACAAACTGCTAGATAGAAACTGGACTGTCACAGGAGCACATTGCTCTCATTTGATGAACGATTCGGTCCTCAATACAACAAAGAGAAGAAGCTAAGACTTGTTGGCATAACATGTGCTCCCCTTGTGACGGCCTGCGGGCTCTTTAATCAACAAAATTAAAAATTAAGCCATCGTTGATGCCAAAGTTCTAATGGTTGTAACATGAAACATTTTCATGTGCTCAGAAAAATAGATTGTATTTGTCCTGTAGTCCTGTAAAAGAACACGCAGGATAAAATGATAGCAGTTTGAGTGCTGTGGTTTGTTTTATTTTGATCAAATGGTAAAATGTCCTTGAAGGCATCATGGTCACCACAGAAACCAATAATACCGTCATTCACTACAGGACATGTTTTCAGAAGCTCATTACAGAGGGTCGGATAGACGCAGTCACTGTAGTATTAGTACAAGTATTAATACTATGTAGTATTAGTACAAGTATTAATACTATGGATTTAAATAATTTCCCCCCAGCAATGGCGTAGCAATGGTTCGTCCGTCCACCAGGTGGAGCACTACCAGCTGAAGCTGAATCGCTTTACTGTGCCTGGAAGCCGCCTTGTCAGTTTCACGCGTTTTAGAGATACTTTGATTGTTTTTTTGTTATGCATTGCACAACAGAAAATCTGTGTTTATGTTGTAATCTATGTGAATAAAAACTAAAATAACTGAAGGCTGGCTGGCGAAGTGATATTGAGGCACAAATTCTAACCAGTTCGTGGTGGACAGATGGGAGTGTGGGGATTTCCTCCCGGGGCGACAGAGGACCAAATTGTTGCTGCTGTCAAGTGTATTATTTATAAAAGCTTTTATTACAGCATGTCGCAGCCTGTTTCACTGGGTGCAGTCATATGGCTCTCAGTGCGGCTTAGGACACGCGGTGTAAATGCCTCACAGCGATGCTGGTGTTATTCTGGGCCTGCTAGTGCCAATGTATTATCCCCTCTGCCATCTCACATCAGGCCCCCCCCCCCCCCCCTCATCCCCCATAAACGATGTGTTTCAGTCTGCTGGCACATCACAGCCTCACTCATTTTACTACAGGAACATTCAGCTTTGTACCCAATAACAGCATTTAGCCATTTAGCTCGGCCTAAACTGGTCAATGGTCCTATTTATACTCTCCAACCGCAGAGTGTGTGTCAAAGATAACTGTAATTAATGGCTGTTTGAGGTTAACTGGTGAAATTGGTTGCATTCATATTTATGTGGGAGATCATGAAGCATGTTTTGATTGCAAGAATGACCACATTAAAAGATTTAATGTGTTGATGAAGTGTCATTTCAAAGGTGTAATTTCCACTGCCCCCCTCATTCTGCACTATGCTATTTTTGCCTTAGTCAAGTTCTGTAGCTTCAGCTTCAGAACATTTTCCTCTTATTCTTATTTCCTCTTATTCAGATAAAAGCGTCTCTCAGTAGAGAGAGAATGTTTTCTGCCCCGCGGTTTTACGTTTTGGTCCTTTCTGGTGGACGTTGTCGAATGCACCTCGACATGAGGACTGCAGGCAGCACGCCGAGCCGAGGGGGGGAACAGGACGGACCTCCGTGTGTCTGCGTGTTAATCTAGAGTTTTATCGAGTAAAGTACTCTGCTCTCGGTTGTAAAGAAGCAAATGCGACCTCATTTATAATAAAAAAAAAAAAACTAGCTGTGTGTTAGAAGTGGATTCGTTGGACCGGGGGGCCTCCAGCCTCGAGTTCAAACAAACAAAACAAAACCAGCGAAGGGAAACAAAATGTTGGGATTAACTTTCATGGTGGGACAATAATTGACTAAATAGAGACCATAAACTCAAGTTAACAATGTTTATTGGGAGAATTAGGGTCATTTCCATGTTGTTGAGCAGAACGCATTAATCTTCTTGCATTAGTCCCCGTGTTGTTTTTCCCATTTGCTGGAGTTTCCCTGCTGCTTGGTGATTGGTTTCCACTATCTTTGGCTACAGGTGCGCTTTGTCAGGAACGTCACCTCGTGGAGGGAGATGAAGCCCGCCTTCTACCACGGCCATGTAGCTTATCTGGACTTCTCAAAGTAAAGCCCTTCATTTCCTGTAATACCATTAATATCCAGATGCGTTACACGGCAGATAAAGCGAGGTCGTGTATCGATTGCTAACCTGTGCCTTAGCGTTGATTAATTGCATTGCCGTCCTTATCTCCCCTGATGCTATCATTTCAGCGATCACAGGTAATTATCCTAATGGCGGGAGCGCCCGTTAACGTGCACTCTCAGTTTCCTTCCCTGACGCTGCCCCCCCGTTTCAAAGATGGAAAAACCAGTTTCTGCAGTTATGTAAGAAACGGCGCTGATTAGACGGGCGGCGTCAGGATGTCTGAGACTCATTCTCTAATGCCTGTTCAATGCAACACGTTAATCCTTTTCTTACTTTCTTTGTAGATACGGGGCCGCGGGGAAGCCCATGTACATCAATGTGGTGCGGGACCCAATAGAGCGCCTGGTGTCGTACTACTACTTCTTACGCTTTGGAGACGACTACAGACCCGCCCTACGGCGACGGAAACAAGGGGACAAAAAGGTCTTTAGTCATTGAAGCTTTTGTTCAGCGCCTTTTTGCCGTTGCCCGTGCAGACAAGTGTGACAGCGTCCCTGTTGTCTTTCAGACCTTCGATGAGTGCGTGTCATCGGGCGGGCCCGACTGCGCCCCCGATAAACTCTGGCTCCAGATCCCCTTTTTCTGCGGCCACCATCCAGAGTGCTGGTGAGTGAGCCGTTGTTGAAGTTGAGACACGCGGCCTGTAGGTCGCTATTCGGGCAGCGGCTCACTGTGAAGTCTGCGACGAAGCCGGTAAGAGGAGGCCGCGTAACGTTCGTAACAGTGACTGCAACAGCTGTCGTTATGACATCGGGAGCAGAGCCGTGCTGACGTTCCAGTAAACCTGGAAAGAGGCCCCTTTACCAAAGGCAACTGCAGGACGCTTGCTATAATCTTGTGCAATGTAAAAATAGAAGCAGAAAATATGACTGCCCCACAGCAGGACGGGAAACTAATCACGGAGCATTTACCACCAGAGGTGAAGCGTTTTCCCCCCAGCAGGGACTCATGGCTTACGTCCCGTGTGCAGGGCCGCCGGCAGCAGATGGGCCCTGCAGCAGGCCAAGTTCAACCTGGTGAACGAGTACCTGCTCGTCGGCGTCACCGAGGAGCTGGAGGACTTCGTCATGATCCTGGAGGCGGCGCTGCCGCGCTTCTTCAGAGGCGCCACGGAGCTCTACAGAACAGGTGGGAACCCGGAGCTGAGCCGCCGGGCGGGCGGGGGGTCGCGCAGGGGGGGGAAGGGGGTCGCGGGTTGTCCCCATACGCAGAGGTGGAAAACTGTGCGTGTTTAACACCTGATCGGCATCTGAACCAGCTGTAAAAGAGATCATGAAGTGCCGCTCTCACAAAGAGGCCAGGGACAGGAGGGGGGGAGGGGGGGGGGGGCAGTCAGTGTGCAAGATTGATAGGAGTGGCATTTAAGAATATAGCTAAATGCCACTAATAAGAGGTCCTGATCAGTCATATGCCGCGGATCAGCCCATCTGCCATTTTCAAATAAATGGACATATTCAAAAGATTTGTTTATGTATTCTTCCTATTTCATGTCCTGTTCATCGGGTTTGTTAAGCCAATCATTGTTTATTTCAAAAGCAGCGTTATTGGCTGATTCATCCGCTCCAAACTGAGGTTATTGAACGTTTAGTGGTTGAATAGTTGTTTCTCTTCTCTCAACAACGGAGATACTGAACCTCCGCTACCTCCATGTTGTCAAGACTGACGCGAATAAACTCTCCTCCTGTTCCTCCAGGAAAGAAGTCCCATCTGCGGAAGACCACGGACAAAAAGCCCCCCACCAAAGAGACAATTACCAAGCTGCAGCAGTCCGACATCTGGAAAATAGAGAATGAGTTTTACGAGTTTGCACTCGAACAGTTTCAGTTTGCGCGCGCCCACGCCGTCAGGGAACGAGACGGAGAGCTTTATGTCCTGGCCCAGAGCTTCTTCTATGAGAAGATCTACCCCAAAGCCAACTAAGACCGGCGAGCCAAGGAAGAAAGACCGTGAGGACGTCCATCGAGTGGGGCGTGTGAGTGCGTTCTCCAGTTCTCAGGCTGCACAGTGGACTCCATCGAGACTGTCTCACCTTTTTCTTTTCACTGAGAAGAGAACTTAACATGCGTATAAACAGTCGGCCCGAGCGGCGAGAAGGAATTTCGGACCTGGATCAGGGTGAAGCGGGGGGGGAGGGGGCGGGTGAGAGACATCTCAAAGCAGCAGCCTTTGACTTTCTGCAGCTCAGCGACGAGATAAAAGTCTCAAACAAGTCAAGTTTAAAACGGTAGTTTACAGTGTTTTTCTGTGGTATTGTTTCTTTAGGTGCACACTTTCTGTACATGCCGCGGTGATATGTAGGCAACAGGACTTTGGACCAATGAGTAGCAAAAGAAAAGAGATGGGACCACTGCATCCTTTGGTGCGTGACAAGTATATTTTTTTATCCCTCTGAGACGTTTAGTATCACTGAGAGCGTGACGTGCACCTTTTGATATAACTCATAGCTGCTGTTTGAGCCTCGGCTGGAGAAGGTTCAGACCTTCGAGGTCACCTGTCCCTGCAGGTGGAGGTAGAGGTGAAAGTGCCCTTATTATAACATTACCGTCCTTTTTTTTAGCGTTAATTTTCATTAATCCGCCATTAATGTTTGTTGGTATTCATATTAATTGCTGTTTCACACCCCATTAACAATTTAAAGATAAATCTATCTTTACGGTTTTCCCTTCTAGTTCACTTTGTCTCTACTTCGCTCACCTTGATGTCCCATGATGAGTTATTGCTGATTTAAAGCTTCCATTCAGTTCTAAGAGTTTTAGTCCTGAGTATGAATAAAGCACCTGACCTCCACGTGAGGACCATCAAGCTTTGGAATAGCTTCTTTCCGGATTTCCCATTGTGCCCTTCCCTTCAATAAGGACAGACATTAACATAGAGAATAGCACAACCCTGCCTGAAAGTTGAGTTTGTACAGTAGTGCTTTGATCAGCATGCTACGGTAACATGCTCACAATGCAGCACGCGTGCTAATATTTGCAGCACACATACAGTTGAGGCCGGATGTCATATTTTCAAGTGTTCTGTCTTAAACCAAAGTGGTGGAACATTGACCTGGTGGTGAAGAAATTTCTGTTCTAATGATCTTTTCTTTTTCTCACAAAATGTTGTAAAATTGGGATCAATGCCTGTTAAAATGACATAAACCCCAATTAAATGAAATTACAGAAACATCAACATTTGAGAAGCATTTTTGCTTGTCAAAAAATGACTTAACGCTAAATTGAACTTAAATATAGCAATTCATTTTCCGTCAATCGACTAAACAAGTGTTTTGCGCTGACGTCAGGACGGAAGGTTTTAATAAGTACAGGCGGGCTCTGGCTCCCCCCCGTATTGGGATAATCGCCCCGGTCTTTGCACCCTCTGCGGGCCTCTCGCGTGACGTACACGAGTCCAGTAACTCTGGACTCCCATTTGTCTCTTGCCTCCACAACTACACAGAATAATGTCCTCGCTGTATCTCAACGTGGAACCGTGCAATAGGTTTGAAATAGGAGGCAGGGGGCTGCTGGGAGAAGTGTGAGCACGCTCCGCCGGGCCGCAGCCGGTTCTTGTGTCTACGCACACAGACGAGCACAAAGGCCCCAACCCGCGTTTGACGCTCGGTGGCCTCGGACACAAGGAGAGGCTGCCGGTCTCAGAATGTAGAACTCAATTAACGGTTTAGCCGCAGGCTTATTGGAACGTTGTTTCATTAACGAGGATGAATACAGTCTGATAATTACTTCATCTCAATTAGAAAAAAAAAGGGCTACACTCTGTATTGATTGTGGCTGATGAGCTCGAAGGTTAATTAGTGAACACAATAATTCAAAAGTCTATTCTGCTTTGTTGTTCTTTGATGGCTTTGGGATCTATTTTTTTTTTTTTTAAAGACTCCGCAGTTGTTTCTGTCACAAAAAGACTACTTCCTTTTGTTGCAACGAAACAGCAAGCACCCCTGCTACCCTCAAGTCCCGCCCGTGAACAGCTTTGGCGTCGGTTCTGCCCTGAGCCACTAGAGAGCGCCGTGGCGCTTCCTGAGCGCCTCCACGCAGCAGCGTGGCGGCTTGGACGGACTGGAAGGGTTCACCTAGCCCCCCGCTAATGCACCTGTACCAAGCCAAATGGAACAAACTAATAGTGCATTGCCATTAACAATACAAATTACACCATTAGGCACACTTGGCTCTCAGGCCTTGTGATAGCTATAAATAGTCTCACTTGGTCTTGGACAATTTGTGCCGTACTTGCATAATGACAGCACTCAAATTAATTCAGGGTGTGCAAATGGAGATCCTAAATTGCTGCATGCTGTGAAAGGGGAGACTTTGTACTTTTTTTTTAATGATGTGCCCCTTCTTGTACAACCACCTCTGCAAGAGGGATTGATCAGCGGGGCCATAAGCGAAATGTCTCCATTACAATGCATTCAAAGCATTTGATCCAGCTTTTGCTTTAACCGTGCTCAGAGTAATGACCTCTTTTGTCAATGAAAGTTGGCAGCATCACCAGAAATGGCCCTCTGGATCGGTGTTGGACCCGTTTCCAGTGGGCCATAGGAGACCCAGCACAGTTCTTGCAGCTAGATGACCCCAAAGTGGTTTCACTTCTGCTCCATAAAACCAACAGAGCAGAGCAGAGGCAGCTTGGCCGCCCCTCGCTGTGGACCGGACCTCAAAGCGCTTGGCCGGAGGGGACCGCTATGTGGACTACTTTTAGCTGCCTGTTCTCTAAATGCTCCGCACTACAATGGAAGGTAAAATGAAGCCACCATGTCAGAGGCGCTGAGACATTTGATCTGAAGATGGAAAAAGGACGGTTAAGTAAGACTTAGGGTCTACAGCCGTGCCAGATGCTCGATGAGGCTTTTCTTTTCTTCTTATGCACAATGGCGCCCCAGTTTGTGCCTCCACATTAATGTCATGAAGCTTATCCTTTATTTCTCTGCACTATATAAAGTTTAGGAATGCCTGGATGTCATTTAACAAGACGTATTGCTGACCCAAATGTATGTCCGGGGTCCTGAAATAGTGTCCATCAGGATAAATGAATATTAATTGAATTGGTATTTATTGATTACAGAGTTGCAAACATGGCAAATGACTAGAAAGAAATATCATGCAGCGCACTGGACTGGACAGTCTTCCCATCAGAGTGTCATCAAGACATTTCACTCAATGCCGGTCAGCCAATGGGATTCATCCTCAGGGGGCAGTGAATATCAATGTCCCTTGTTGAGACACTAAAAAGACAATAATGTTGTCTTTATGGTGCCGTTGGAAGAAAAAGCTAGTAAATCATCAAAGTTATTGCAGTTCATCCTCTGGGAACAAGTATTTTCTGTTCAAATATAGCGGCAATCAATCCAATGATTGTTTCAATGTTTAAATTTGGACCATGTGACCAACAAACGCTCAACCACTCATTGTCAAACAGCTCCAACTCTTTTTATAGATTCACTCCTATCAATTAGAAACGATCAGACGGGGCGATCCGAGCATCACCTCCACCATTTACACGTAGGAGGTCATGATGTAATCATAATGGACATTATGGGCCTGTGAGCACAACAGGGAGCTGGACCCTGCGCAGTACACTCAGTGATACTCTTAATTAGATTGCTGTATTGTAGTTTGACCTTGGAGGGAGACACCCTACACTGCTCTCTCTCCCTCTCCCTCCCTCCCTCTCTCTCTCTCCCCCCGTCGTTCTCTTGCTCTTGGTCGTGCCGGCAGGCTGAAAGCATGGACATTTTCTCCTGGAGGGCAGGAGAGAAATGCAATCAGCAATTCAATCGCGGCCATTGTGTAGCAGTGCTGATGAGCTTTACAGAGTAGATAATGGATTAAATTATTTATCCTCCTCCCCCCCCCTTCTCCTCCTCAGTGCTTATTGTTGCCCCCTCTTTGTGCTGCTACAGCGGTACACAGACGTAGGTTGAAGGCTTGGATCACTTGCTGCCTTTCATAGATCTAATTTTTCCAATTAGCGCTTGAATACAGAACGTTCTCTCCCCCTTTACCCCCCCCCCCGTCCCCCGCCTCCCCCGGCCTCCACCGCGGCCCTCATTGTCACACGCGTCCCATGAGCTGAGCATTTGAACGTGTCTGCGTCCAATTGAATGGCGGAGGATACAACCGTTCCACCACATTGCCCGTCACTCCTCCCAGCACTTCTCTCACTGGAACACTAGATGGTCTTGATGATAACGTCATCAAGGACACTTCCTTCAAGTAAATGCTGTCGGACTGACGCAGCTGTGCAGGGGGCTGATCCGGGATCGGAGCGCGTGTTTTTAATTATGTGGTGACCACGTGGAGGAAATGGGAAAGCTGCTGGGTCCAGATCATCGCCAAAGGAAAGCGGGGGAAATCCATACATGGTGTTGATATTGATGGACCGTCAGTCGGGAGGTCAATATGAAGTATGAGTGAGATTCATTCATGTTGCTGCAGCAGACGTCAGCGTCATTATCGGATGATTATTAAAGGATGAACACAATTTGTACCTTGGCACATACAATAAAACAAATTTAGGAGCACATCATTGATTTAAAAAAACAACAAAATCCAGTCAGATATTTAATGAACTACATCAATAAATAACACTGTTAAACTGGCTGTTTATTGTTGAATGTTTAAAAAAGTCTAAAAGAGAGTCCACATTCTATTTATCTACTGATTGGTTTTGAAAAGGACAGATTCAAGACTTTGTACATCCTATTTATTTATCTCAATATTATTCACTTCCATTCTGGGGCTGAACCATGTTATTGATCATTTTATTGCCTTTATAATTAGTAACTTACGGCTAAATTCTGTAATGATATCGTAATCTGCATCATCTTGGTCCCACTCTTTCTCGAAGCCATTTGACGATTACACTGAGGGAAATGTTCAAACTAAAAAAAGATCCTTGCCGTATTATTCTATTAAATGGAAATATTCTTAGCCTGACAATTTGATCACATTGGAAACTTGTGGATCTCTGTATTGCCAATCCAGTTATGTAGGTTTGAAAAATGTCTCAACAGCAGTATGTAATGACCAAAACACCGAGAATCAATAAAACACAATTGAGCACGATTAGATATCTAATCTTTTGACTAAGATATTTGTATTTTCCTTCTTATAAAATTGATCTTTCACAACAGGC